AAGGATAATCTATACTATATTACTAAAAGCAACAAACGACATAGTACATCTATGCTATATTTGTTCAATAATGTACCAATCTCCAACCAGCAGAAAGAATAAATTATCCTAACTCCCTAAGTGGGTAGTCTTTTAGGCTATCAGCAGGGCAGCTAGAAACCTGCAGGCAAGAAAACCATACATACTGTGAGGTTTCAAAATCCCTTACTTAGCTCTGGGGTTTGGTAATAGAATTGGGAAATTCTCACTTCAAAGTTATTAGTTCTACACCAATAGATGCTACCCTTTCCCAGCTGCCTTTTTTTTTTTTTTTTTTTGGTGGATGGTAAGAAGGGAGGATGGTAGTCTCAAGACAACTTAAGTTATATTAGTTTCTAGATGGAAAAAAAAGAGAGAGACCATGCCTACTTTCTAATCACAAGGTAGCCTATGCCCTTCTAGGAACTAAAAATGTTTCTTCCTTTTTTATCATATATCCCATTTAGCTAACACTTCAGGTCATGCATGAGCTATATACACCAATGCCAAGGCTCTGGTTTAGTGGGAAGAACATTACTTCTAGACCTGAGTTCAAATCTTATTTCTACTATTTACTTTCTACGTCATCTGGGGCAACTCATTTGACTTTTGGGTCCAAAAGCTATACAGATCAAATCTATATAAATGTCAGCTACTATTTTGCTTCTCCCTTCTCACTCCCCTCCAAATATTACAACAAAGGTTCATTACCCATGCTGCGTAAAGTGAGGATGAATTATTTTCATGAACCTGAAGATTACTCTTCAAGAAGTTCAAAATTTACCTGAACTCAGGAATCCTAATGGTCTTGGAATATAGTGTTAAGCAGTCCATTCCTTCAGAAGTTCAAAAATTATTTCATTCCCCTAACCTTACCTAGAATACTGTATCACTCATGCATTTATTTTCAATTTTATACCACAGTTATAGTACTCTATGATGGCAGGGATGAGGTCTTACTGGAAAGAACATTGGACTTAGAAGACAGTTCAAATCATGCTTGTGTGACTCTCAATAAGTCACTTAACTTTCTGGTCTCAGTGTTTCTCTGTACATTGAGACAGTTGGATTAGATGGCCTTTAAGATCCATTCCAGCTCTGAGCCTATAATTCTCTAAGTCGAATTTCTACTTCACTTTCCCTCAGCACCTAGCATAGTTCTTTGTATACAGTATTCATTGAATAAAGAATGAACACCCTCCTCTCCCAAATATTCATTTCCTCATCCACCCTCTCTCTCTCCTTCCCCCTCCCTTTTTGTAAATAAAATTTTTATTCCAATACCTAACTTTCTAATTCTATTCTAATACTTAACTTTCATTCAGATGGGAGAATTGTAAAAATGAGGCCAAAAAACACCTATCCTCAATCCTTTTCTCTTACCCCCCCCACATGCATGTCTCTTTCTCCACTTAATATCATTTATTCTTAGAAATTTGCTTTCCTCAAACTTTATCTGCCTTTTCACTATATTATTTATGTAGCATTTCTCATACCTTTGTGAAGTATATCAATGAGAACTGTCAAGGGAAAGTGATGAACATGCTAGAAGAAAAACTAAGGCAAGTCAAAATTTATTGTAGCTACGGTGGTAATAAATGAGGAAATACTACAAAGGAGCTGAATATGCAACTTATTTTTTGGCAATAAGTGAAGAAACCTTCTTATGATTTCAGTGGATCATATAGGAAAGTGGTAGTACATGTTCAAAGAACTTTTTTTAAAAAAATGGCCCCTTAAGGTATGAGTTTTATTATTTCATCAAATAAACAACACCTAATGATCTCATGAAATGCAGACTTTTGACTAACTGAAATCATTATCATATTAAGTCACAGTAGAGAACAACTTTAATAATGCTAATTTAGAGCTTTTAAATTTTAAGTACTCTTCCAGATAATGCCATCTATTTCAGTCCACCTACATCTACATATTCTTGCCAATCTCATGCTAAAATCAGAAGACCTTAAGAATCCAATCCCCTCATTTTACAGATGAGGAAAATTGAGATCCAAAGCCATTAATAAGAAGAGTGATTTAGTCCATGATCACCCTTTACATTATTGTTTCACAAGTCTTGACATTCACTCATAGTCCTACACTTTGGAAGAGTAAAGGCTTGTTCAGAAAGCTGCAAAAAGCACTCTTAATTTATAAAGGACTCTTCCAGTCCTGGATTTGTTCCACTACAGCACACTGAATGAAGAGACTTAGTTTCTAGTCTTAATTCATCCATTAACTAGCTTTGTAATCTTGGGTGAACCTAAGACATTTCATTGCATCTCATAATCTTCCCTTCCCAAATGAGGGGCTTATAATAGAGGATCTCCAAACTCCTTTCTGGATTCAAAATTATCTTCTATAATTCTACAAATTGTGTGAGAATATGCCGTATTATGTGTTTTTAATGGTAAACAATTTAACCTACCACCCACTTTCAATGCTTATTTGATTATTCTAAGGCAGCACCTACAAAAGACAATGTAGGATGATAATTCAGCTTTTATTCCATGAATTTGTGTTTAACCAAAACTTGATCATTTTGAAGTAGATCATTTTGGCCTGAATTTGTACATCAAATTATTCTGAATATTAAGGCACATTGCCCAGATGCTAGGGCACATAGACATGTATAATAAACACATACAAAGACACAAGAAGAAAACAACTTCTTTTAATCTGCATGCGAATAACCAACTCCAGTCTCCAATTATTATAGGTCTTTCTCAACCCTAAGACATATAAAAGTTGATTTGACAGTTCCAATGACAACTTTTATAACAAAAATACCCTAACATTCAAAGATTTGTCTATTCAGAGTGCTGTTTTCAATTTGAGCTTAGTCCCTCTGATGTCTGAGAGAGGAATCAACATACCACCAACTGAATCGTGGATGCACCTATATGCAAACAATTGCTGATGAAACAGTCTAATTAGAAAATAGAAGCCTGATACAGCCACACTATTTGAACAACAAAGGATAAGTTGTTTTAGAAACTATATGAGACAAGTACTCAAAGTATCATAAGTAATTCCATCAAAAAATATACATTAATTATCGGAAATATGACTTGACAATGAGGCCTCCAAATAGCTACTAATTTCATTAATATTGCCTAATCGATTTTAAACACTTCAAGGTCCTAAAAATAACTAAATATTATATGATGATCAGTCTATGGGCAAAGGGCTATTCATATTCAAGGAAGCGTCCTCTCTAAATTCCAACATACATGTCAAAATTACTTACACTTTGATTCAGAATGATTACTGAAGTGATTTTTTTTAACTGCATAGTTCATTTAGCTGAACTGAATGGTTTTCATCTTGAATGATGTTAATGAAAAAAAACTGGATTTTGTATAATGGAATAGATTTAGTAATGAAAGTAAACTCTAACCAAAATTCATTTGGGACACTTAAAACTGACCCACCTCAAAAAGGGATACTTCAAGTCAATTTTTCAAGTTTGCAACATAGATTGAGATCTTGAAGATTGAACACTTGGAATATCTAATTTTCTAGCACTTGAGAGCAAAGTCATCAGTTTTCACCTTTGTAAAATGAGGAGACTGGACTATGAGTCCTATGGTCTTTTCCAGTTTCTAACTTTATGAAACATCATGGAGATTAAATATAACAGAAGGGGATGAAATTAATAAGTAGCTCCAGAAAAATAACCTGTGTACTCCTGCTTCTGGACAGGGAATGAACTTCAATACTGTAGATCTAGGATGTACTTCTGACAGATTGACAAAACTGGATGTGATGTGAAAATCTACAAAATCTATAAAAAATTTTATGAAAAATCTATAAAAAGATTTGTTTGTCAAAAGAATTCCAATTGCAGTTTAACTGGAAGCTGCCATTTTAAAATCCACAGAAATCACATGCATATGAGTTTAATATAAAGGGGGAAAAAGGGAAATAACTTTGATTTGATGCATTACAGAAAATGCATCCCCGGGAGCCTCAGTATTTTCATTTCTAAAATAAGAAGGTTGATCTCAAGGATCTTTTCCATGCCTGACTAGGAAAGATATTCCTAGATATTTAAATGTATATTATTTTAAAACAGAGGCAGTTTGAATCATCATTCGTAACTTTAGAATAACGTTAGAACTCCAATTGGACTTTATTTCAAAAGGGAAGGCTGATGGTTGAGCTTACTTGAAACAAACCACGCACTCACCTCCCTAATAGCATTTGCCATAACGTGAATACTGATCTCTTGAAATACTTATCAATAAATGAAATGGTTCTCTCTCCTCCCACTCCATCCTCATCCTCATTGCTCATAACTTTTAAATTTTAACCTTAGTTCTATCTCTAGTCAAAAGGTACTTTTGTAGAAGGATCCTGGCTCTATACATTCAGAGGGAGACCTCCCCCTCCGGTGTTTGGATGAGACTCCCTAGGCTGGTTAGAGATTATTAGAAACTTGTCATTTTGACTTAGCTTCTGCTCACCCAGGAAAATTTCTATTCTTCCTCTCCCATTACACAAGTGTAATATCTTTTAGATTACACTAACTGCCCTCAAGGTCAAGACCTCTGCCTGGGGTTAGGACACCAGAGGACCAGCAGTTCCGATCAAGGCTGGAGTTGAGTTGCTGGGAGTTTGAGTCTCTCTGCCGTAGCTCTCTGGGCCAGGCTGCAAACACAACATGATGTGATTCAGTCTCTGCGTTTTGTGAATGGCTAGCTCTGACAGCCTCTGCCTGCCATAAGGGATCAACTGCTGCCGCCTCTGCTAGCAGACTAGTAAAAAGGATCACTTTTCTGGAAATACTTTGGTGTTTCAAAGGAGAATTAAAACAAAGCCCCCTTGTGTTTAATACGTTTTCATAAAGCACCCCTACCCAACGGACAGGCACGAACATTTACACACGCGCAACAGCACACACGCCCCAGACCTCTCTCAGGAGTAAACACCGGAGAGGGGAGAAGGCAAGGCACCCAGCGCCTGTTGCTGCCACTCACCTTCTGCTGCCTCCGGGCCATGTCGGTGGGCTGCTTGGCGTTGAACGGGTACGCGATGCACCTCACTACAAAGACATAGAGCTGCAGGCGGATGCGCTTCTCGTTTTCCTCCTGTTGCTGCCGCTCCAGCTCCTCTCGCCCCTCGCTCAGCACCGAGGGGCTCGGGCTGACAGGTCTGGCGGTGCTGCCGCAGCCCGGGCGCCCTGGAGGGTCCCGCCGCCCTTCCCGGAGAGGAGCCGCGGGCAGGCTTCGCTGGGAGCCACCGGCCGCCACCAGCACATCGCGTCTCTCCTCTTCCACCCCTTCGTCCGACTCCTCTTCGCTGGAAGACGGGTCCAGCATGATGTCCGGGTGCCGTCCTCACCCCGAAAGCTCCTGAGCCCTCGGGTCGGGGAAGGGAAAGCTGCGCCGGCTGGAGAACGAAAGGGAAACCGGTCACAGCTTTCCGGACACGTCGAGTCTTTTAGGCACCAGACTGTTTCCTACCACCAGGGCGAAAGGGGCGGGCAGGAGTTGGGGAGAGGAGGGAGGGAGGAAGAAGGGGAGGAAAAAATAGTGAGCCACCAGAGCGAGAGGGAATGACTAGGCGGGGTTTGCGAAGGGGGAAGTCGAGCCTGGTTGCCTTGGGAATTGTTCCTGCAGAGGTCCTTAGCCCCCCCAACCTAGTTGGTAAGCGGCCCAGGAAGCCAGCCCCGGTCGCAGGTGGGGAACCTGTAGCGCCTACAACAAGCAACATGTGGAATGGAATGTTAAGGAGCGCGGAGCGGGAGGGGGAGGATAGGGGTCCGGGGAGAAAGGAATGCGCGCGCGCCGCATTCCCAAGTGCGCGCCGTTTGTAACCTTGATTAACTGGCTAGTTTAGGGAAAATCACTGGTCTGAGACCTGGAGCTGTGCTCGTGACTCCAGCTGGAGGACGCTCTGGGCCTGGCAATCCTCTCTGCTTTGCCAGTTTCCCTAGAGTCCCCTGTGCAGGGCTGGCCTGGGTGCAGGTACTGAACTACGGAGGCAGCTGCAGCCGGACGCTCCCCACCCCCACCCCGCAGGTGTCCGGTCGTGGCAACCCTAGTGGGGCCTCTCACCTGCACCTGCACCTGCTCCCGCTGGGTGCCCACCCACCCCGCGGCGGAATCCTGGACTGACCCGCTATTCGAGTTTGTCTACGGACGCGAATAGAGCTTTTCCGTCGCGTATTGACATTTTAGACTTTTAAAAAAAGTCCCTCTCCTGTTAAAAACTTATCCTGGGGCCCACGCCACTCTACCCACGGGGCTAGCAGCGTCTGAAAGACGCTTTTAATTGCAGTTTTCTACCTTAGAAAGATTGCCAACATGGGTTTTTTTTGTTTTTTTTTTTTAATTTCAAAATGGAACTCTAATTTAGCTCGGACATGTCTGCATTACTTGAGGAGTTGAAGTGAGAGTATTAGAAACAAGACGTGATGTGCTGAGCAAACCTTAGACCTCAAGGCAGAAGATAGGATGCCATCTCGGCTACTTACTGCCACTCGGCACAGTTTGGCTTAGGTAAGATTAAAGGTGTTAATGATCTCAGTGGAACTTTAAAACTCTATAAATCCTATGACCTATTCTATGATGTCATTCACTAGGGCCCTCAGTTTCCTCATCAGTAAAATGGGGGGAGGGGTGGTAGTTGCACTAGGTAGAAACAAATTAAGATCTTACAGAGACTTTAGATATTATGAGAACACTCCCACCCACTCTGTTTTACAGATGAAAAAACTGAAGCTCAGGAAAGTGAGGTGACTTACCCAGGGTCAATACGTGAGGCCAAATTTGAACACACTCTTCTCTACTCCAAGTCTAGTGTTCTATGTATTCACTATACCATGCTTCTTTTTAGATGATCTCTAAATCACCTACTCTTATGATTCCAAACAGAGTTATTTAACAGTTAGTCTAGGACTAATATTGGTGGTGCTTTTCTCACTGTTTTTCCTCCTCCTTAGCTGGATTGTTTCTAAGCTGCAACCAAAGCCTACCCTGCTAACCTTTTCCACTCGAGTATTCAAGTATGTAGTGTTGGAGTTTTCTCTAGTGGTTCTATTATCCCATTCCTTAGTACCATTGGAAAGGGAAGAAAAGAAAAGGCACTGGATTCAATCCAGCTGAACTGCAACATAGTTTGGAGGTGGGGCTGAGAGAAGTTGAACTTAAGAAAAGATTATATTACCAGAACTGATGTGATCTATTCCTGTTTTCAAATAAGCAACTTCTACTTTTCCAGGCTTCTCTTACACCGTTTAGGTAGATATTTGCAGATCTTTATTTCACTTTGAGACTAAATAACATTATTCTGGGTGACATGTCTTTACAAGATGCTTACTTCCATCTTGTCATCTGGGTGGCATGAGAGACAGTGACAGAAACAGACAGAGACAGACACTTGGGGCATGAGTAGAGAGATTTTCTTATCCAACTTTCTTTAATACTTCTCCCTTTCCCTGACTTGCTACAATCTTTCACATGTTCATTCTCTTGGCTTATAGAAAATACAATCTTTTCTTTGTCTTTCTACTATGTCCATAAAAACTAGATATCTAAACCTACTTAAGATACCTAGCAATGATAGATCATAGATTATTTGCAAATGTAAAGAGTACCAAAGTATAATCTGGAGACCCTAGTGTGTGTTGAAAAAGAATTTAGGATATTCAGTTTTCCATGTATTAATTTTCAACACAATCTCCTTTATCTGTATCTTTGATGCCCTACAAATCCTAAAAAAATGACATAACTACAGTTTGTTTGTATGGGGTGGGGTATGATTTGAATAGATTAATAGTAGCAGAAAATCTTATTGACTTCTTACTAATTCATAACAAATCCTGGTATAATTAATATTCTTGTGCTGATTTAGTATTCATAATTTTAAGTGCATGACTTCTAGAGAATTATGGGTAAATTTTTAAAGTTCCAAATTAGTTGTCATTGCCAACTAAAGGTCCACTTTTAATTACAGTCAATATATCGGAATACTGGCCCATTCTGGATTTCCTACTCCCAAAAAAGTTGTCAGATCCATGATTTTTCAAGATTCTATTATTTTTAAGCTTTGGTGATTCTTTTTAGAATAATAATGAAATTTGTAGTCACATTAACTTATTTTTTCTCTTAAAAACTGAGAATTTGGGGTTAATCATTCAAAAGGTATAGCTAAAAGTAAAAAACAGAATACTGGAAAAATAATTTTTGGGAAATTTATGACTTTAAATTGAGGCAGAAGTGTTAAATCCCAAATACTTTTTCAATGAACATATTTTGCATTGATAATACTGTAAACACAATGCTTTTTGCCTCTATGTAGATCTATTTGCTATATATCTTCTTTGTATTTTAACTCCTTCCATCCCTTAGATCAGTATTTGGTACATTGATTCAGTAATTCATTAAATAATATCCTATGTGGGGAATCAAGACTTACTTTTTTAATTGCTCTGTACCATTTCATAAATGTATGAGACACATTTGACCTTGTTCCATGATTCATTTTTAGTTTTGTCAAGGTGAACATAAAAATAAATTGAATTTATAGTGTTTTAATGAAACACCTCTAATGTTAAGGAAGATAGGTGCATGAAATAAAAATACATTATAATTTTTCATTTTCTGTAATGACAGTTGAGGAAATAGATGTGTGAGCTGAATACAAATAAATTGGGAGTTTCCAAGGTGAGAACTGCTTTGTGTATTTGGTATGGAAGGGATGCATTTACCTTCTTGAGCCACCAGGGGACCATTTAGTGCTCTTGCATGGTAATTAACTAAACAGGCCCCTGATGTTTTAAAAGAGCTCAAGTCCTATATATTGCTAGAGAGTACTATAATACATTATATACTAGGAGAATCTGGTTCCATCTTCTAGACTTTCAGATAGGTGCCATTGCATTGGGATTCTACTAAGACTTTGTAGTGCTGTAGAAAAAGCACTAGTTCTGGATCCAAATCCCAGTTCTGCAGTTATTCCCACTCATATGACTTTGGACAAGTCCTTTGGCCTCCATAGATCCCAATTTCCTCATCTGGAAAATGAGTATATTGGACTTAGTGGTCCCCAAGATCCCTTAAAGCTTTTGATTTCTGATCTTATAAGTTCTCCCTGACTGTGGCCTTTTTTAAAAGTATAGCTTGCATAGTTGCTTATTACAACTGGTAACAGACACTTTTTTACAGCAAATGGATGGGCAAATTTTTCATTCTGATTAAAATTGTTAACCCAAAAACCCTGCTTAGAAAGGGAGCATCTATTTACAAGAGAAAAGGGAAGAAGAAAAAAGACTACAAACAGCCTAAATCTCTTGCCATTTTCTTAAAATGAATATTTATAAGATAAGAAAAAGAAACCTCCTGGCAATCTGCTTCTAATTCTTGCATCTTCTCTTTCCCTGTTGCTCCTCTCTTGTTGGTTAGAGCCAGCTGCCTAGAATCTGAATCCTAGCCAGGCATTTGGTCTGGAACCCCATCTATTGCCATTGTAGGGAACTGGGGAGGAGCTTTATGGGCATATATACTCAGATGAGCAGATTTGAGGGGTTTTATAGTGGATGCATGCATGCAGGGAAGGCAGTTGAGGTGGGGAGGGAAGATCTGTGGAATACTTTTCGAACTGTGGATTGTATAGGTAGGGGTTGTTGTCATGCCCACCCAGGTTATACTTTTAGTTGGTGGTTCCTTAGCATTTTATGTTTATTTCTGAAATTACTTGCTTTGAAGATGATCTAAAACTTGTCACTTAAAATAGTTTTACATTTTCATGTAATTGCCAAGGGTTTTTTTTTACAACTCCTATGTCTTTACCAATCTGTTAATTATTATTTTATTTGTTCTTGATTTTGTATGTTCATCGGGTTGGAAAGTTAAGAATAAAAAAGGAAGACTGGGAAAGGGAAAATATATTGAGAGTGGCTTATCCTAGGTCTCCAAAGAATCTAATTCAATTCAGTATTTTTAAAAATTTGCTGTGGCATTTGGGATTCAAACATGAAAAATAACGTAACATCTACCTTCGAGTAACTTATATTCTAATTGGAAGCAGAGAAGAAAAGACACATGGACAGGGTGTCTCAAAAGTCTTAGTGTAGTTTTAAGTTGCTAAAGTTGAAAACTTTGGGATACCCCCTGTAAATATTATAGTGACTAATAAGAGCAAATGAGAAATGAAGACCAAAGCACTGTAAAAAATTGTATTAAGGAAACATCACTTTCAGCTAAGGATAGGGTATGGCTATCAGAGAAGGCTTTATGCAGGAGGTGATAGTACCTGAACCAGGCCTTGAAGAAAAAGAATTCAATAGGCCCAGATATGGAAAACTCCAAGTATAACCCAAGGGCTGCTTAAAGCCATGCCAGATAAGGCAGGATAAGGTACATATTTGTACCTACATAATGCATACATAATTGTACATACAAGATATATA